CCCCCCGCCCGGCCCCGGGCCCCTCGGTCGCCCACCCTCCTCAGCCCGGGCAGCCCCCGCTTTTTGGCGAGCCTTGCCCCCCGGCGTCGCGCCGTCTCAAGGGCCGTTGAACCGCCCCGTCCTTATTTTCCCTTCCTCTTCCTTCTACCGGCGAGACGGCGGCCCCGCCGTCCCCTCAGCCGTCCCCTCCTGGTCCCTGTGGGCGAGGGAACCTACGGCCTCCGCGGGTTGTTCCCGGCGTCGCCCCCAGGGGCCGCCCGCTGGAAGGTTCCAGAAGGGCGAGCGCCTCTCTCCCGGCCCTTTCCCCCCTTCCCCTTTCGGGGGTCCCCCGGCCCTTTCCCTCGGCCGCCCTCTCCCGCGGCCTCAGCAGCCAGCCGGGCGCGGCTTCCCCCTCCCCCCATTCCCGTTAGCGGCGGAGGGGGGAGGCCGGAGGGGTCGTGGCTGCCGCCCCCCCCCCCCCCCCCCCCCCCCCAGGCCGCGACCCCCCCCCTCCCCCCCCGCGGGCCCCCCCGGCGGCGCGGCTCCCATCCCCCTCCCTTCCGCCTTTTGTTTCCCTCGGCGGGGCCTTGCCCAGCCCCGCTCTCCTCAGGGAATGGCCCCCCAATTTCCCTCTTTCCACAACCCCCCCCCCCCCCAAATCTTCTTCCCGCGTTCCCCCTCCTCGCCCCGGAGCGGTTGAGCCGCGGGGGAAGGACTGCGGCGGGCCGGGCTCCCCTCGGAGGCCGTGCACATGGAAGCGGGAGCTAACATGGCGGCGGCGGAGGCAGCCTCAGCCTCTCCGACGGAACTGCATTGTGCGATCAATCTGCACAAAGCCGGGGGGCCGCCGGCCACCCCACCCAAGGATTTTTTTAATTATTTTTTTTTTTCCGTCTCTCGTTTTTCATCGCCCTAAGCTCACCCCTCTAGGAGCCTGAGGTCAGCTGGAAGCGGCCTTTAAGGAGTTATTTTTAGAAAGAGCAGCTACTAAATCCGTGGTCCTTGGACGGGTCGAGTTGTGACAGAAGAGGAAAAGGGTGTTGTGGTTGCTTACGGTTTATGTGGCACCCGCTCGGTGTTGCTAGATTAAATGAGCCTCAGAGGGCTTTCCAGCCTACAGGGCGTGAGGTGTCCATCAGAAAAATACGAACATAACGTGTAGCCTAAAGACTTGCTTCAAAACACTGTAATACCAAGCTAAAATTAGGGAATCCAAAAAAATGATTTCATGCCTGCGTCAAAGCCCTGAATCTGTTTCTCCTCTTCGAAGTAGAGAGGCACAATTACTCTTCTACTATTTCTTTTTAACTAGCCCTTTAGATCATCTAGTAGTCTAGACTAGTATTCTGTATTTGTAGAAGGTGGAAATACAAGCTGTAAATCAGTCTGTACAGGGGAGTTGCAAATGAAACAAGCTGTGCTTTACCTGTAAATATGTGCAAAGTGTAGTTTCCTACTTGAAAAATGGCTGTGGGATTTTCCTGGTTTTTAAAAATGAAATGACAAAAAGCAGCAAGCCCAGAGCTTTTAGATAAGTTTTAGAATTGGGGGATCTTTTCTTGATCCTTGACAGAATACTGTCACGTATAGATAGGACAAGATGTCTGTCTTAAACTTGTCATTAATACGTATGAATGTGTGTGCACACAAGAACACTGGTCATCAACTTGAGAAAGAATGCAGATCTTTCTGTACATCTCTAGTTGTTTCAGTACAGTAAAATGGTTTGAAATGATTATTGTATCTAACACACAAAAATCCTCTAAAAATATTTTTCTGTGATGTTCAAAATGCATATTTTAAAAACTAAAATTAGCAGGTGAACATTCTTCTGATCCATTCTGTACTTTGAAGTAATAAAGAGAATAAGCACACTCTTAACTGGTGTGTGGGTCCACATACCTCTCTAGTAGAGTTTTTATTTGTCTTTTAAATAAACAATTTACACCTAATTTACACTTGGCTTAGCCATTCTATTTGAATGGACTTTTGGTCAACTTTCATAGTATTTTAAGTTAGAATGATGTGTGGGAAGCTATTCTGGCAGAAGAGAGTGAAAATTGGTGCTACTGTTCTCATGAAGGCCCTAGGTTTTTTGTTCTGTTTTTTTTGTTGTTGTTGTTGTGTATCTGTGGGTGCTGTTGCTACTTTTTATAACTATGGTGTCATAGCAAGTGAATACAGGGGATGAAGGGCCTTTTTCCTGGAAGTGGCTTCTGTTGAAAGATCTTCCATTAAAATTACGTAGAGTATCTCTTTTTAGGGTAGTCTGTGCTAGGCAGTGAGGGCTTAAAAAAGAAAAGGCAAAGGCTAGATCTTGAAAAAGAAAGGCTAGGTGTGCTCTCACACAGATAAATCAAAGTTCAGAGTTTTCCCTAAGTCTTAATGGGCTGAAGAAGTTCTGAAACGTGCTGAAGTAGGACTCTCGTGTAAACGCTATAAAAGTGATGAGATATTGTTCTTGGTGTATTAAAGCAGAATTACTAATTTGTGGGCTTGAGCCTCTCCCTTGGTGGGGGAATCAATAGTTCTTTAGTTAATCAACTTTCTTTAATAAAGAGAACATTGCATGCTTAGGCCCTGAAAACAAAGCTTATTGTACACATGGGCATCCGTATTTTTATATTATTACTTGATAAGTTTACTGAAGTACACAAATTCATTCACTTTCCTTTGTTTTGAATCTTTTGATGAGGTTTTTTTTTGGTTTTGGTTTTTTTTTATTAACCACCCAGAAAGTAAAATCTTACTGGATACTGCACAGGCGGGAGTGGGTGAAAAGCCCAGTAAATCTCACTGAAAACTTACGCTTAGTTGAACATTTAATCCTTTCTTTGTCGGCAGCTGATAACGAAGGCCAGTAGAGATGATTTTGAGAGCTTTGTATTTGAGAACAAATACAAAAATATACTTGACTTAGACACATGCTTTTGAAAATTGAAAAATAATTGCTCTGTAAGAGGTACTATCTTAGGTTTTCAATGGTATGGGCAGCTTTTAATTGAGGAAAGGTTGTTCTTTATGAATAAATCAGAAATTTTGAAGTAAATAATTTAGTGTCATGTTTCCTTCTAAACTCTGAGGATAAAATGGTGTGACCATCAAAATACAGTACACAATTTCAAATCATAGTCTTTATAACTTTGTTCTGTACTATTTTGAAAGTTTCTGTATAAACTAGAAATACTAGATTATTAGTTATGCTTTCATTTTCTCCTCCTAAAAGTGACCTCGTTATTTGAAAGAATGATTATGACTTTTGTTAAAAGGAACTAGGATAAATGGAATTGCTGTTCATAAATGTATGTGAAAACATGGTCTGAAAATGTCTGTGTTCTGCTCTTCATATTTGGAAATGATAGGAATACTATCCTGTTTTCTTCCTCTGTTCTTAGGTAAGTAGTTATTTGTATGTGCATGGCAGGGGGTATTTTCTCTACAAGACCTTCAGACGTGCAACTTGAGTATATGTTGACAAACTTAGTTAATTTAAAAGTTGCATGAACTCCTCTAGGTTTTTGTTAGGTGTCTGAGGTTAGAATCCTACCAGGTCTCCAGCCAGGTTCCCTAGGAGAAAATACTTCAGTAAGACCTGCATTTTTTTTCTTCTCCTGCCCCTTCTGTTTTTTGGGGTTTTTTTTAGAGGGAAAAACCTTTCCAAATTAAGCCAATTGAATGTAGATCAAACTCATGTCTTGATACAATGACAAATGAAAAAAACAAAAGTATTTTTGCTTTCAACTTGTGTAATGTAGCATAAGCTATGTAAAAACAGTTTTAAAACCCAAACGTTCTCTCAGAAGGACAAAATATCTCATTTGCTAACACATGGTTTAAGGTGTGGGCATGTGATCACAAAGATTATTCTTGAGCAACTGTAAATACAAAGTAGGCATGTTAGCTTAAACTACTTGACATGACTTGAGCTTGGTGTATACAGTTAAAAAGATGGCACACTTTAGCTGTAGCTGGTAACTTAAGATGCTGTTGCTTTATCAGCCTGTCTCTGAATTTCCAAATTAAGTGTAATCCTGACTGGGTTGAAAAATGAATACTTAAAAAGTGCCTCTCATTATTACGCAAGAATTTTCACTGGAACAGTAGATGGATATTTCAAGTTGATCTGACTTGGTTCAACAAAAAATGTTGGATTTCCCATAGGAAACAATTACAAACCTATAGTAAAAGCTGAGATCAGTTTTCTGTTCTTGTAGGTGCAGCTAATGATAGCAGGGAAGCGCCACGCTTCAAGTTGCCTGTCAGTAGCAGCACTCTTAAGTGCTTTTGCACCATTATTTGGGTCACTTGGATGTTGAAGGCTTGTGAGTGTCTCCAGAAGTTCTCCTTGTGAACTTGGTTTCAAATTTATCTTTGGACATTAAACGTGATTTTGAAACCAAGAAATTGTAAAATTCATTTGCAACTGTGTATTGAAAGCTTGAATCTTTCTTTGAAACCTCTCTGATAGCAGTTTTGGATAACCAAGCTTCATCTCTTAAAACCCAAGCAGGTTTATCTATGAAATTATCTGGTGGTTGGTACTTTCTGTTTTCAGCTTGCTTTGTTCTAACTGTTTTATGTAGCGTAGGGATTATTTCTCATAGCAAGTTCTGTAACTAGATACACGATGAGTCCTACAAGCTGTGAAAGATTTTCTGGTTTCTCAGATGCTGCTTTGATGTTTTGTTGATGTTTTTCCATTTCTTTCAGAAGAAAAAGATACACAGAATGTGTTGGGAAAGCCCAGTTTGTGTTCTAGAACCCAGTTTGTGTTCTAGAATTCACTTGCTGTTGTAAAAGTGACTAATTTTGAACATAAATGATGTGTAGAACAAAATCTAGGTCTCTTGCAGTGTAGTCAACTTGCCTGTAGATCATAGTGTTTCTATAGGAAATACTGTATGGCGATTTGGAAAGAGAACATATATATGCAGCCACCTAAACTTTTAGGAGTTGCACTCATCTGTGGCTTAACTTAGTTCTGGTTACTGAAGAAACAATTTCTTTTTTTCCTCTGTAGTCATCAGAGTTGAAGAGGTTTACAGTTTGACAATTGCACGTATCCATCAGTTCTGCATTGCTTCGGGAAGGAGCGGGTCCTGCTCCTAGCCATTCTTGTATCTGTATCTCTGAATGTGTTTGGTTGGATCAGGCTGCTGACCCAGCTGTCAGTCTGGCCATATGGCTGTCCTTGGTGGTGGGTGGGAAGGGTCAAGAAAGTGTGGTGAGCAGGAGAATACCCCTTTTGTGATCAGTGTCCTCTGGGGTAAGCTGATAGTGAGACTGCAGTCTCAGAATTGGTGTGTTTTTGTCACTCACTTAAAACTAATACAGTGTGGAGATATTTTTTCCTAAACTGTCAAACTTACCTACCAGACTTTGGGGAAAAAAGAATATTTACAACCGTTATTTCAAAAATAAATTCAGTTTAAACAGAAAACTGGTAAGTGTTTGTGTTCTGAGTATTGATGTTAATGCTTCATTACAGCTTCTTGGTTATAACTCAGGACTGAAACAGCTTCTTGTTAGGTGTGTACCCAGACAGTGAATGTGAGAACTGTGGCAGTTTTAAGGAGGTTCTGAACTTCCACGTTTCATTAAACTGGTACAGTTTAAGTGTTTTTACCTTCTTGATTTTTTTCTGCCTGTTTTTCTGAGGAAATGGGAAGACTTTTATTTTTTTAGTCATTTCTGGGCAGTCTTTTGCTGAGAAGTTAAACTGGTGAATGAGTGTGGAGATGATGGTGGAGAGCAGATAAATTACAATGTACAAATGTAAAACAGGTTAACAAACTTCTGTTTCGTAGCTTGGCTTTTCTTTTGCTTCAGTGCAAAATGTATTAGGCAGCTATTTTAAATTTTGGATTATCTTAACTGCTTAATGCTGTTAGAAAAATACATGCAGTTTTTTAGGTATCTTGGAAAACAGACTTGCAATAGTCCCCTCCATCTTTTCTTTGTAGTGAAGTGTGCATTAGAAAATGTTTACCTCAGCTGGTGGAAGAGGTTGCCTTCTCCCCTTCCACCTTGTCATAGACACTTGAGTGGCTGTAACTGGTATGAACCATACCATTGAAATTATCTGGTTAAATATAGTGCCTCCCTCCTCTCCTGCTCTTGGCCCCCTTTATTAAGGGTTATTTTTAATCGGATCATTCCAATGATCCATTTTATACCGTAGCACTGTAAATGACCATAACAGCACAGCTGAGTGGTCAGGCATTTTTAAGACCAGTATTGTTTTTGAAGCTAATATCATGTAACTGCATTTTTTTTTTGTTCTTTTTTATTTTATGTTTCACTTCAGGATGACGTTTTTGAGGCAATTCAGAGGAGGTAATGAGAACTTGAGTGTGAGTGTTAACCGTAATAAAGTAACTCAATTTTGGATTCCTATTAAAATAAAATCTAGGGCATAGTTAAGCAGTGAACACCACCACCTTCCCCCTGCCACACACACATCCCACTCCAGCCCTGCAATAGCCTATATGTAGTGCTTTCCTCCTAGGGAACTCCAAAATACTTCAGGTATCTCAGTGGAAAAAGAGCTGAAGCACAGTGGCTTGCTATCTGCAGAACTGGGGTCTGCTGACTCATGAGCTGCTTAATAGACAATTTATGTGCTTGCTTTGCCACTTGATTTTTTTTCTTTTTTTTTCCTGCTGGTTTAGCTTTTATGCTTCAAGATCTATATCCATGCTGAGTGAGGATGAAGTTGTGTAAGGAGGAGTAAAATTAAGAAAATCTTTACTTCTTGCAGACACTGCAGTGGGTTGCTAAGCAGGAATTTTACTGCAGTTATTTTACAGCACTAATGCTGCTTAGATTGCTGTTAGTTGACGGTACAGATTAAAAAGAAAGCATTTTGCTTAATATTTTTATGTAATGCAGCATTTGGATCTTGCTGTGTCTTTGGGATGATAGAAAAATGCTTACTTGGCATTTGAAATCTTTGTGATAACATATAACTAAATACACATTTGCTTGTCCTCTGCATTGCAGCTGAAAGGGCTTTCCTTCTTTTGCTTTTACCTTTCTGATACAAAGGTTTTTAAGGAAGAAAAATCGAAGAGAATTAACTTTTCTTCTCTTCCTAATGATTAGAAATAGACATATTGCACTTTGTTTTTTTTAATTGATAAACTGCTGAATAAAAATGAACAAAGCATTTACATTAGACCTAAGAATATTTGACCATTTAAGGAAAAACTTATGCACTGTTTGAATATGTTATTGCAATATACTTGATCTGAAGATACTAACCATGCTGAAGTAAGGATGCATGGAAAAAGTATGCAGAAAAAATTGTAGTTATTTAGGCTATTTTTGTTTCTTCCCTCCCTTAGCCACTAAAATGGATTATATTGAGTGTTTTGCAGCATAATTTTGCAATATATGTTTTCTTCAACAAGGTTGACCTAAGTAGTGTTCTAGAATTTGGTGTTCTATCCTGTTGGTTTTACTGTTGTTGTTGTTTATGGGTTTGTGTTGGAAACTGGATCACAGAAATCATTGGGATTTTTTTTAATGCATTTTTGTAGAAACTGTTTAAACTGGCTTGTATTAGCAGGCTGTTTACTGTGCAGCTTCACAAACAATTGCATCAGTGTGACCAGGGGAATTGTAATCTGCAGCATGGGAGCAAGTGACTTGCTCAAGTAGGAACTTTTTAAAATTTGTCTGCAAAGCCAGTTCGTCGTAGGATTTAAGCTACGTTAAGCAGCGAAGGTGTCGGTTAACCTGGCTGGCTTTGCACTGGGGCATTGCAGTGTTTGAGCTCTTTACCCTCCCTTTTTGCTTCGCAGCTCAGCTACGATCACTTAGATCATGAAAACTACTTCTGTGATTGTCCAGTCATGGCATCATCTATTCTAGAATTAGTATGTGGAAGAGTAAAATGACCTTATTTCCTGTTGTGGTGGATTTCCAATATGCCAAATGCACTTGGGGCTATTTTTTTTTTGACACATTATGAACTTTGGCTGCTGCATTTTACAGCTATTACCCTGCTAGTGTCTGTCCCCAGCATGAAACGCCCAGTAATACACTTTTGGTGCTTGGGAAGTTCTTCTTTGACTTTGCCTAGGCCATTACTGGCTCTGATACACTGAAAGATGAAGTAGTTAAGTGTTATATCTAATCTGTAGGATTTCTAAATAAATAAATGGTTGTTGCTAGGTGACATCAAAAGGACCAAGTCTCATAAGGGTGGTTATGTGTTTCAGTAAGTGATGCTGGGCATCAAATACGTTGTAAGAGGAGCTTTCTTGTTAAACTGTTTCACAGACTTTGATCTTTCCAAAAGGTCTGGGATTGAGCATGGAAGTTGAATTAGCTAGAAAAATATCAGTAAAATATTTTTAACTGAAATGTCCTCAAACAAAAACAGGAAAAAACCAAAGAACAACAACAACAAAAACCCCCTGTCACTCAGTGGCAAATACAAACTCTGAAACAATGGTTGCATCAGGGTTTTAATTATTTTACCTTCAAAATGAAATATTTCTGTTTGCTTTCCTTTTCAATTTGTTGTTATGCTAGATTGGGAAGATAATTGTTAAGGATTCATTTTAATAGCTTTCTTTACATAAGATAAGGCAAATTTCATAAAAAATAGAATAATTTGATAATACAGAAATGGTGAAAACTTAGAGTTTAATAGTTAGGTATGTTATTCTTACAGACTTTGCTTCCTTTCTAAGATTCTTTCTAACTTAGCCTGTAGAATCTTTGTCACTTGGGCATGCATAAGTTTTACCTGCTTTTGGCCAACGTCAGTGTTTTGCATGGTTTTGTAGTTTAAGCAGATTAGAGAACTGATCCTGGTGAAGATTAACCTAGTGATTCCTTTTTCAGTTTCTCCCCATGAAAAAGAAATCTTAATGCTCTTGAACAAAAATATTTTAGAGCTTTAATATGAATTGTGTTGGTGGGCATTCTTGTGCAAAGGATTGGAAACTCTTTTAAATTCTTTAAAACTATCTTAACTGATGCAACTACAAAGAATTACAGTTCTGAATCTTAATAGCATTGACAGTGGTTTTTTGCAGTCATGTTTTTGGTATTGTAGTGATAAAGTGGTAATAAGCTCTGACTCGGAACTGAATTCAGCACTCTGTTGTTTGGACTGAAGGAAATGTGCATTGAGAGCGCTTTCCCCGTTAGGAGGAACGTGTATGTCCTCAGAAATGAGACTAGTTATGAAGATGTATTGTGATAGCCAAATAAACAAGGTTAAAATATTAGTTTCTTAGGGAAGTATTTATATTTTTTTAACCCAGAACACAAGTTTTCTCAGGTACTATTTCTACATGACATTTGCATGTTTGTGTAATGTGTTACAGTCTGTTTACGCTGTAATATTAGAGTACCTAATTTTGTTAGCACAAGTAGAAAAAAGCAGTAACCTGATTTTGGCTCTTCATTATAGCATTTTTCTTTCTTTTCAGAGCAAACTTGATGATTACCAGGAACGAATGAACAAGGGAGAACGTCTGAATCAAGATCAACTGGTAAAAAGAAAAAAAAAAAACAACTAACCAGATTTCAGTTAAATTGCTTTGTGATCTTGGTGGGGAAGGGAGGGATGAATTTCACTTCTCCTTTCCCCTTGTTAAAAGCTAGATTTTTCTGAGCTCTGACTTGGCCTAATTTTTTTTATTGCCTAGAACGTCTCAATTTTTCTGTTAATCAAAAACTGAAAGAATGGGTAGAGGAACGTGTTGTAATGCTTTATGCTTGTTGAGGTTAGGTTGTAAATAAGATGTGGTGAAAATTGGCATACATTATAACCTAAGACTTGAAAGAACTAAATGATGCCTTTGAAGTTCTTTGGACATCATCCTTTTCTTTGCAGAAAATGTGCCCAGGGAGAACTTGAGGAGCTTAGTCACTTGGTGGTAGCTTGTAAATATTGTGCAGTCTAGTTAGAGATGTAGCCTAGACCAAGGGCTCTGAAAATAAGCTACGTTCATGTGTATATTACAGCTATCAGTGCAGCAGATGGTGATGCTCTAGATAAGCTGGACTTTATGTAGGCTGCCTCTCTCCATGTTGGGCCTGGTTCTTAAAGTAAGCTATTGTAGAGCTTGACTAAGCAGCAGTTTTCCAGTTCTAGTAAATATAAAGCAAGTGTCAAATTAAATTCAGTTGTATGATGTAAACATGCATATTGATACTTAGAGATTACCAGATGCTCAGTAATCAACAATGTTTTGTTGATGATTTTTAACATTGAAAAAAGTGACGGAAAAAAATGTACCCTGCAACTATTGCAGCTGTTCACAATTAGAAGAATTAGCTGCTTCTCTTGGTCCATGTGATCTTTTTATCTGTCTAGGCTTCACTTTGGTTCTTCTGTGCCAACTGAAATACAAATGATCTGTGTATTTTTATTTTTGAATGGCATATTGTGAAAATAAACCATGATAAGTTTTCTGTTTGACGAGTAGGGGGGATAACTGAAATTTCATATTGAGGAGGGGAGCTCATGATTGAGTTTATGAATACCACAGCCTGACTACCACACTTCATAAAGATAAAATCCTTTTTGGTTGGAGAAATGCTGAAAATATTTGTTATTTTCACTTGCATCTTCTGCTTCTACAAATCAGCTAAGAATGTAAAATTTTGTAAATCAGCTAATGTATATGTGGAATATGCAATATGTGTATACATTTCTTAGTTCACTGTATCACAAATGGAAATTCTTAAGGAAAAAAAAAGCAAATACAGTTCATATTCCTTGTTTTTCAAAGAAAGTAGGACCTTACTTTTTCTTTGGCTCAATTGTTCTTACCAAGAACATACCTATTATTAATTTTGTCACAGCAGGAGTGTAAATGTCTTGGCTGTTTGTTGGGTTTTTTTTCCTCCTGATCTGATTCTCTGTAATTTCTCAGTACTGCAAAGTGGGTTAAGGAGTTTGGATTGCTTTGGTGCAAATCAGAAGAATAGATTTAAGAAAACAGCTAATAAAAAAGATTTCTGGAGAAGGGAACATTATGCTCTATATAGAGTTTTGATTTTGGCTCTGACTCAAGATAACTGAATTGCTTCTCAAACCTTTATCTCTTGAGCAGTTTTGAGTTTCCAGATTACTCTTCTCCCTCATTCCCCTGGCCTGCCAGTTAGTTTTTGTCAGAAACTGGCTAAAGCCGAACATGACTAGTATGTCATTTATGTGAGCATAAATATACGTTTACTTTAACGTATTTATCTAAGAAACTAGAGGCCCTAAAGACACATGCAAGCCTTTCCAATATTTTGGCCAGTGAAAATCAAAATTTGACTTAACGTTGTTGCAGTCCCATTCAGGGATGCTGTGTCTTACTCAGGAACTAAAAATGTGGGAATTTGTTTGTGGGAAGTATGTATTTTTTTCTATTTGTGATGGTTTACTTTTGTGGTTTTTTTTTTTTTTTTTTAAGGATGCAGTCTCAAAATACCAGGAAGTGACAAATAATCTGGAATTTGCTAAAGAACTGCAGAGGAGTTTTATGGCTCTGAGCCAAGACGTAAGTAAAGAGCAAGCGGTGCAATGTGGGCTATCCAAACACTTAAGCTTTAAACTCTTTTTCACTGATACTAGATGTAGTAGTCACCTCTCTTTACAGGGATGAAATGGCCATGATTTCTTGTATGTTCGGCTGTTTTCTTGTACTTTGTGTACTGCTTTGTGTCAGGTTTTCTGAAGACTGTTCCTAGAAGATTTTTCTGATGAACTACATAAATGTATGGGAACAAAAATAACGTGGTAATTTTCTGACAAAATAGAACTGTTGGAAAACAGTGTGATCACAAAACAGGCCTGTCATGCAACATTATAGATAGCCACTTGTTGCCAATAGTAACGTTTTCTTAAAAGAAACAGATTTCATAGGCCTGATTCTCTCTTTGGCAAGTTGCTGAAGGGTGTCATTTCTTTATATTACCAAAGGGTATAAAGTCTCAGCAACTGAAAGTATTGCAGCTCCTTTTTCAAGATTCTTGTTGTCTTGTTAATTGCAAATACAGTCTGAAACTACAGTACAAGGCAAGATTAATACTATTTTTGTAAGGGATAAGTTAACTGAATACTAGTGAAACAGGTGATATTTTGGGTCGGTGTTTGACCAAAGATGTAAAACAACAGTGTAATCAAGAATAAGTTCTAAAACTCTAATAGACAATTCCAGTTATATGAACAGCTTTGCTTTATTTCTTGTGCCAAGAGCTGCAAATAAAAAGACATGCTTTAGACCTTTGCAGTATCATTGCAAGGAAGAATCAATTCTGGGGCAAGCTGAAAGGGTAGCCTATTCAACAGAACTGGATTATTCTACATGCAGTAATACAGTTAGAGTTAATGACTTACGGAAAGAGCAGTAACATTGGTAGAACTCATTGTGTAGTCGATGTTAGTGCAGCAGACTGGTCTAACGAGTGTATTTAGTTTGTGAACAGACTATGATAATTTGAAGGGCATCAGCATCCTCACATTATAAACTCCTTTCTACATTTGATGTGGTTGTAAATTTGTAGACCTCTAAGCCAAGCCGTTTCTTTGCTTTTCTTGTATCAGGGTTCCCTGTATGTTTATAGAATGTTAGTAATGAAGAACTTTTCTTTTTTGGACAAGTTTGTCCTGAAATATTTCCCTGGTCAGCTGACTGCTAAAAGAAGCGAGTGAATCCAGGAGCAATAAATTGGTGCTCTGTTTTCAAACTTGGTTGCAGTTTTTCCTGATTGGAGTTCTCATATAGTTGATTTTAAGATATTGTCTTTGATTTTTAAAAAGAAGTTTAGATGCTTCAGAGGGAGAAAGTTACTGTCATGAGTTACATTTTTTTGAAAGAGAAGATTAAAGATTTGTATTGTTACAAAGTGAGCAAGCTGAATTTTGGATTCTAGATGCTTGGATTAAGAATGAGAATGGAAGAAATGTCCTGTAGGTACAGACTAGTGATGCATTTAGTCCAGTATTGTGACAGCAGTTGTAGAAGGCACTGTGCAGAGTAAAGGCTGATGATCATCTGTCATCCATTCCCTTCCAGCATCTGTGATTCTCAAACTGAGAATGTTAAGAGAGTAGATGCATTCCTGTTCCCTTTGGTGTCATGTCTGTAGACTTCATGTCCAAGAATTTGTTTAAATCCCATGAGTTCCCTCCCATGATATGTAAGCAACAAGAGTACTTTTCTTCTTCTATTTTAAGCTGATCTCTTAGTAGTTTGAATGAATGCCTCCTACTGTCATGGGATATGGTGAATAACCACTCTGTTCATGGTATCTGCTGGCCTTCATGGCCTTTATGAAAAATCTGGATCACCCTTACTCCTCCAAATTGAAGAACCTAAGATTTAGGCTCTGCTCATAGGCAACTGCTTTGTCCCCTTAATCAGTTGAGTTGCCCTTCTCTGCCTTTTCTAATTGCTGTAAGTCCTTGAGTTATGGAAGCCAGAAGTTGTAAGTAGACACAATGTTTGTTTAAAAGGTACTTAATTTTGTACATTTTTGCCACTTCCATCTGGATCAGAATCACTTAGGAAGTGATCATAAAGGAAGCAGATAATAGCAAGCTGGGCTTGTTTCAAATAACACATTCATGTCTAAAGCTTTAGACATGGTAACTGCAGTTACTTGACTGAACTGCTTGTAAGTCATGTAGAGAAGTACAGATTTCATGCAAGAATATGATGAAGATCCAGTATGATCGAAGGTTTGTGGCATTGATTTTAAAGTTTGTCTTAATTTGCAGGCTTTTGACTGCTTAAAAGATATTCTTCAAATTTCACAGATTATTCTGCTGTGATGTTAGATTGATAAGTGGCAGTTCAACACCAACATCCACCTCTATTTAGCAATAAAAGACACTTCAAATTTATCCACCCCCACCCCCCCCGAGTTCACTACAGAATCGAAGTTTAAGCAATTTTAAATTTCTTTTCATTTTAAACAGATCCAGAAAACAATTAAAAAGACAGCTCGCAGGGAGCAACTGATGCGAGAAGAGGCTGAGCAGAAGCGTTTAAAGACTGTCCTAGAGCTACAGTTTATTTTGGACAAGTTGGGTGATGACGAAGTGCGCAATGACTTGAAACAAGGATCAAATGGAGTACCAGTGCTGACAGAGGAGGAACTGACAATGCTGGATGAGTTTTACAAGCTAGTGTACCCTGAAAGAGACATGAACATGAGGTAGGCTTACAGTAAAGTACCTTTCTTTATAACTGTCAGTCAGTTAACAATGTATTTGTACTGTGGTGATTTAAAGACTTGGTAAGAAACTAACTCTTACAAATTATTTTTTTTAAGATTGAATGAGCAGTATGAGCAAGCATCTGTTCACCTGTGGGACTTACTGGAAGGGAAGGAAAAACCAATTTGTGGAACAACCTGTAAGTATAGTCTCTGTATTAAGAGATGGCACACTGAATTTGTGCTTGAACTAAAATACAATGTCTGATGTAAGAGAACTTTGGTAATTGATAACCTTTGTGAGTTTTTGGAGTAGCTACATTTTTCAGACCTTAGCTGGACTATAACAGAATAGCTTATAACTGAAGTGTGAAGTTACTGTGTGGTGTTTTTTGGGGGGTTTTTTGTTTGTTTTGTTTGTGTTTGGTTTTTTTTTTTTTTTTAACTGATGCAGCATTACTCAGTATTAAGCTTAGTCCATTCCTGGTATTTCAGCAGTATTCTGCTGCTGTTGGTGCTTAGTAGCAATTCTTTGTTTTCTGGAAAAGTGTGTGTTAACGAGGAGCTTTGTCAATAATATGACCTAATACATAAACTGTCATGACCTTATTTAGTGTGATGTGCTGCTCCCCTTTGTCTCCTGCAAAAAGCATTCTGGTTTTGCCCTCTTTTGATTGATTAACTCTGTGAATCAGGGTGTGATCATGCAGATGGACTGCTTTCTTGCAGGAATGTAAACTTTCACAAATACATAGCTTCTAACATTAGACCTTAAGAAAATGGCTCTGCTAGGCAGTTGTCTGTTTCTTGTATCACGGGGAATTATTGAAGTCTCTTAATTGGAAATCAATAGGAAAGTTTTAGGGAAGGTAATCCTTTTTAGTAGGTAAAATGGCTAACAACTTTCCCCCTTTTTTAAAAAAATCAATTATCCTTATTATATTAGAGTAATATTGAGCTGTTGAAAGAGTTTTTGTGTTCTGTTCATAGAAAGTGAAACAATAGTATTGCAATTGTTACCTAACCTGCTTTACTGAGGAATGATACACAGGAGATTGTAAGATACTGTGGCCTTAATGGTAATGAGATTTTCCTTGTTTGTGGCAGAACATCAAGTGGTTTATATTGTTGAAATAAAATTTTGTGAGGAGGTACCAGTATTTTTTTAATTAATATTTGTTTTGCAAGAACTCCAGTCTGAAATGGTTGTGATGTTAGGTCTTTGTGAGAGACCAAAGATACGTACCACATATTTTTCTCATGAAGAGACAGAGGAAGGAGAAGGTATGGGGATAGTTTTCAGAAGAGAGATGGTGTATGTTCCTTGGAGACCTAGGCATTCTCTTACTGGATGAAGTTGGGCTGGGTATTGTTTCTGGATCTTGGGATGAACTTTTAGTGATGTCATTGGCAGCCATAGCTGGTTCACTTTGTCTTTATAATGGGGATGAATGTTAATGTGTTTGTATGCTCTTCTCTGTGTGTGTATTGGTTCATACAGTGATTATCACTTGCCAGATGTGCATTGTGAATCTTCCATTTTGAGCATATTGGTTTTTGTTGGCCTAGGCAGTCAGTAATGCTGCCTTGCCAGTGTGGCTGATTTGGTTTTTAATTAGGAAATTACAAATAAATCAGTTACAGTTGAAACTTCAGTGAGTTTCTAAAACTTTCCAAACTGAAAACTAAGCAACCAGAGATTTTTGAAATAGCAGGAATAAAACTATGGTAATTACATTCATGAACTTTACCTCACTTAGAAGTGTTTCGCGAATCTTCTGAAGAGTATTACGTACTCTTAAGATTCTCCTTGCCCTTCGGATTTTTCTGAACCGAAGTGGATTATTTATTGGTTTATTTAGTATGATGTAGCAAGACAGAAGAAATTCTGTAACAGTAGTGTCCGTGGACTAGCTTAGGGCAGCAACGTCTTCCCAGCAAAAGGGTAATAAAATTTATGTGGGATCTTTGGGAAGGAAGGAAAAGATGATTAGGATTGAGTTACTGTTCATCTTTAACTTCCATTTTCCTAGATAAAGCGCTGAAGGAGATTGTTGAACGTATTCTTCAAACTAGTTACTTTGATAGCACCCATAACCATCAGAACGGGTTATGTGAGGAAGAAGAGGCAGCACCTGCACCTGCAGTAGAAGACGCTGTAGCAGAAGCTGGTAAGAATATGAAGATGCCTTGTGACTATCATGTTTGTGTTGTACTGTCTTGTCTCTTTGGATTCATCAGAATGATTAAATTGCAAATGTAGTTTTAAGTGCAGAAAACACCTTTCTCTGAATTCTTCAGGTGTGCTAGTGTTTTGAATAGAAATTGGTAGAATAGAAATAGATAATCAGGTATACATCTGGCCAGGCAACATATATAGAGGCAGTCAGCCATTCATTCAGCCCTGCTCCGAGCCATGAGGGAAGAAAAGCAGAGCGGTGTTCCAGAAGAATTCTGTAAGGTTGACTCTTGCCAGCTACTTCTTTGGAGGGACTGTAATCCTTTTTAATGATCACATCATAAATGTCTTCCATCATGTGCAAGGAAGGGCTTACTGTTCTAACTGTGGAGCATCAGCTGAATGAAGGAACAAAGTCACTTAGTACTGTTTTTGAACACATACTTCAGCATTTGTCTGTCCAGTATGCCACTTGCTGAAATAAGAACCCAGGCTAGCAAATTATTTAGAAGCAGGTTTATGCAAATGAAAATCATTGCCAACATCTCTTTCCTATTTTGTTTTCCTGTAGAACTTCTCATTATAATTTATAAACAAAATTTTGTTCATCTGTAGTATTAAAAAGGTCAAAGATTGAAGTTCTGGTTGCCTGAGGCTTCTCCGTTTTTCAAAGGTTCCTACCAGTTTAATTGTTTCTTAGAAGGGGAGAATTTTTGAAGCAAAGAGTATGCTTACATACTTAAGAAACTCGAGAATATGGTACCAAACTTCAAAATTAATGACTTTTTTTCCCTTTTGAATATGTTGTGGAGAAAATTGGAATTTGGGGTAGCTGAACATTACTCTTCATAGCAAGAATGTAATGTGATTATTTTTCCTTTTAAATTCAAAACTCTGAGAGTCTTTGTTATTCCTGACATTCTTGTTTTCTTCATTCTGAACACAAGTTTCTTCTTAATTTACCCTGTAACATTAGGTTTGTTTCTGAACCCAGCAGATACTTAACTGTACAAGTCAGCAATATTGAGGCTCTAATTTCAGATCTAATCAAAATCCCATCCCCTTGAAGATTTGTGACAAGGCGACTCCTTCCTTAATGTATAGCAAGCTTCTAATATTAGGTATTAATTTCACTCAGGAGTAAATGTGTGTCTGTTCATTCTTACACCTAGCTGTACTTCCTGGGTACTAATAGTCCAGAACACTACTTTAAAGTATATGCATGACTACTGCAAAAATGCATCAGACTTCTTCAAAATTCCACTTTATTGGGGAAGATTTTTTTCATCTAACTCTGTATCTTCTAGGTCTGTAACGTGGGGGTTTTTTCACATAAATGGTACATTTTTCTTACAGAACCTGATCCAGCGGAAGAATTTACTGAACCAACTGAAGTTGAATCAACTGAGGTATTAATCACTGGAAAGACTGTCATTTTGTATAGCTTTAATGCCACTTACTTTTACTTTCATACCCTTTCTTATTTTTATTTTAGTATGTAAACAGACAATTCATGGCAGAGACTCAGTTCAGCAGTAGTGAGAAGGAACAGGTAGATGAGTGGACAGTTGAAACGGTTGAGGTAAGATCTTGTGTACTGCAGGTAAAATTGCAATCCCTGTTTCCGCTGACTTGCAATTCATGATAGGTTTTAGTATTGCACCCTTTCTCCCCCAATATATATATAAAAATACATATATTTAAGTAGGCTTCGACTCACTACTCATTCTTCAATGACATATTTAGCTCAGGAGTACCTTAAATAAACACTATGCAGTCTGGCTAAGTTTGCAGAGAACCTGATTTTTTAAGACTCTTTTTCTTTAAGAGAACTTTGCTGCAAATGTAGAACTTGAGTTTATCTACACAGCTGCTGATAGCATGGCATAGTTGTGCGTTTCATTGAGCAGTTCCATGGAGAGGGAGCTGAAAATAAGTATCTAAATCTGCTCCAGCTTGCATATGCACATAATTTGATGTTAAAATATGCTTGTATGTACATCTCTGCTTTCAGGAACTGTAGTTCTTCGAGTATTTAACTTGTTACTACTTTGCAGTTGAGTGGTTGTTCACTTGTGATGTTTGTGCTGCCTTGCTCTCAGGATCCATTCCCAGTTTAGTAATTTAGACGTTGGACTTAACTACACGTGCAAGTCCATCATTTTATTATACTAGAATTTGTGTTCTTCACGTACTGGAAAGGACAAGTCACATGGAGTCATTCAAATGTTGGGCATGTTGGAACTTGGGTTGTATCTATCTGTTAGGAACAGGTATGAGCAGCATCTTTCAGGTGCTGGAGACAATTTTTGATTCATTTTAGCATTCTGCAGCAGGCAATTACAGATGGTCAATTTTTTTGTACTCTTCCTTGGTGTCTTCAGCCTCTTAAGTGTAGGAGTGGAGTAAGTGTTCATTACCTCTTCAAGTCGTGAAAAAGAGAGCAGCCATTTTGATCTGATTATCGAATCTGCCTGATTTTACATTCAGTCTGGCTGAAATTGGTATCTTGCAGTGTTGAAGACTGCTAAGAGATTTAACAATACTTGGGATGGGTGTGAGGCTTCTAGAACTAACTAGGCAACTTTGCCATTTGTGTGAATGATTTTTGTAGTATCTTGTCATAGTATTACATTCCCTTACTTAAAAAACCCTAAAATATCACTGCCATTGAATGCGATTTAAGAAATCTCTTAAGAAACCCTCTAAAAACACATGTTAAAGTCATGTTTGATTGGGGTATTCTTATAAGACACAGTATTTTAAAGTTAATACTTGATTGGCTTCAATCTGTCTTCAATTATGTACAAATTACATCTGTGTTTCTACCAAGTGTCCAGAGTAGCTTAGAGGTTCAGTTCTCTGTAGTTCTTAATATAAGTAGTATGAATGAGGACGTAAGAGTATAGGAGATGTCCTTATGATTGAAGCCAGTTGTGCTTCCCTTTGTTCTTAAACTGTAAGGCTGTATTGCACAGTTGAAAACTCAGATGCTTCCTCATGGGAATAATAATAATATGTGGTAACTGTGTTAGTATGGTAAAAGAATTCAGGTTGTAGTTTTGTATCAGACTAATGTCAGAAACTCCTAATTTTCCACACATCTTTACTAGTCAGCTAAATACGGATTACATCAGCTTTGTTTTTATAGAATAATGCAATACGAAGAATAGATACTTCAGTTGTCCTTTCTGTCCCAATTTCTTGAACTCTGTACAAATGAGCAGTTAGAAAAAGAGTTGAAGCCTGCTTCTTCATAATTGAGAACCTTACATTCTCAGATTTAACACAGAAAGGGGAAATTGAGAATAACTGTCTTTGAAATTACTCTTGCTGTTCTTACTGGCACCAAAATCCCATTTCTCATGGGAATGCAACTCGGTTGTCTTTAGGGAAGGTGATGATACACATTATATAGAGCCTCTGTGCTCTTCAGCTCAAGGTAGTTCTGGCATTAGTATGGTAGGAGCTGTGAATGATAGCTTTAATTTTGGAAGCTGATCGTATTCTAAAAGAGAACATTTACGCAGAAGATTTCTGTGATTGTTTATGAAGAGTAAGGCTATCGCAAACTCATCTCTTTTTCAGTAATGCTCGAGTAGATGTGATACATTCAATATTTCTGTGGTATGGTATGTTTCTAGTTAGAGAAGTGATGGTGTCTCACAATGACGTTTCTGTAGGGGCCTACCATAAGTTTTAAAGTAAAGAATTTGCTTGTGAATTTTCAAAGTGTATTTGTGTTTGGAGTGATGTTTTAATTTTGGTGAAGATGACCTTCATTGGTAAAAGTGGGGGGTTTGCTTCTGGGGTTTTGTTGTTGTTGTTTTTTGTATATATATATATTTTTTTTTTTTTTTTTTTAACTTCCTTTGTAATAAGTACCTGAATCTGCTTTTATAGAAAGTTCTCTGTGTCTTAGGTTATGGAACTTTGATTGGATGGATGTGTGTGTATTTTGTGTAGAATTGGAAACTGTTCTGTGACTGCCAGAAAACAAGTTCATTCTGGTTGGTTTGTGGTCTCATTAAACTTCTGTTTACCTCTCCTCCTTTCCTCCTCCTTTGCCCCCTGGCCTTCTATACCCTGTCATTCTCTGATTGTGTCTGGGCAGCTCTGCCTACTGAGAAGGTCAGGGGGTAGGGTGTCAGGAAGCAGGGTGTCAGAAGGTGAGCATGCAGTTTGATGAGTCAAATACTATTCTGCAGAGAGGTTCAGCTCCCCTAAAAGAAAAGTTTCACCTTGCTGCTGTGCCCCCAAGAATGAATGGAGATGTATGGTTGGGTAATAATTTGCTTTTTGAATAGTGGTTCTTGAGTAGTCTCTGTACTTTTTCATGCAGCAGACTGTTAGAAAGCTGTTAATTTTAGAACTACATCCTGTCCATTGGCAACTTGACACACCAAACTTGAAATTTTTTTTTAGTAGTTTCATCCTACTATGATTATAATAGGTCAAAGTACCTGGTAGTGAAAATAAGAAAGAAGGAATAGGCCCTAAACAGTTCCTTTTGACATGAAAAAAGGGGTTGAAAAAGACAGTGTAAAATATTAAACACCGCCTGAAGTTAGTACTGTACTGTTTGTGGAAAAAGGAAAACATTTGATAAAATTCTGTTCCTGTTCTGTGTTCTTAATTATTCCATCAGCTTTTGTTTTCTTGAAGATACTGAATTGTTATGAATGACTTGAACTTCATAAGTTGAGTGATAGTACTCAAGTAATTGAGAACATTTTTGGTAATAATTATGTAGATAAGTTGCTGCTGGTATTACCTCTCAAGTTTCACCTAGTCATCTGGCTTGCTTTTTTTTCTTTAATTTTAAAACTTTGTCACGTGCAAGAGGTCTATATATGTGCTCTAAATAACACTTTCAGAAAAAAAAATTTCCACTCACGGGGCTTAATTCTTAATTTGGAAACAGTCCATAATTTGAAGTTTGGGGACTGTGTAATACAGCAGAGCAGTTGTGCTTGTTTTCCAGTGTGGACAGCCTTAGGGTGTAATTCTATGGGAGTTGTCAAATTGCTTCTCTTTGGATGGCTAATAGTGGAGATTTGGGTCTGAAGGGAATCTTGAAGAGGAAGGTAGGTTGTGGTTGCTTTTTAGTTTTGTTTAGAGATCTTTTATTTTTTTTTTCTATTAGAGATGGCTAGGGATTTGGTCATGGAAAGAGTCATTGGAGTTTGTGAGGCAATTGCATGCTCTGAATGTCACATACAAACAATGTTTGTAAATTTGAGCAAGGAGTAGGCATACTGGAAAATGCTGTATGTTTCTTCAGAATAGGACTGTTTTGTCACTTGTCATGACTGCTGTTCAAAAATCTGTCTTCTGCAGTTCTAATTAGAAACCAGATATTTTACATAAATATTTTGAACTTTCAGGTGCGTGTATGCTAGTTTATATCCTATGCAGCTGTAAGTTTAAGGCTTACCTGTTTATCTAGAAGATTATTAATAATTAAAAGCTCATGGGAATAGAGAAGCAACAGACAAATTATTGGCAATGATCTTTTTAAAGGGCAGTTGTTGACATGAATGCAAACTGCAAATGGCACTTCTGTATTACAGGAGTAGCCTAAAGACCAAAACTGGTTAGGAACATTGAAAGTACTACTTTGAGCAGCTTGACCATCCTTTTAACTATCTGTTTTCAAGCTATTTGTTGATGGATGTTCTTAGATGCTTGTGTTCAAGTTTTCTGGTTGCTCTGCTGTCTTTGATAAGGTGGTATTTGAAAGCATGTTGCCATTCATCATACCTTTGTTTATGTGTGCCATATTGGAATATGTCTAGTAAATCTGAGCTTTCTTGCCCACTATGAATTGTGCTTCTGCTTCTGGGCTTCTGGTGTCCCGCAGTGCTGCCTGCTGTTTTTTGAGACTGTAAATCAGCTAGCTAGGATACCACTTGAGATAGCACTTGGGTCTAGACGTGGCTATGAAAATTTAAAATTTTGAAGCCTTAAGAAAGACCTCAAACTTCTGAATCTACTTACATTTACCAAAAAGGTATAAGAAAATAATTGTTCTTCATCTGTGCATATTTCTGAAACTTACACTTCCCTGACTTTCTTTAAATTGCCAAATGTTGATAAACTGCTGTCTCAAATCCTGCTATAAAAAAAATCCCCGTAGTATTGAACAAAGTTTTTGTTCGCATTGTTCTTAATGGGGAATAGAGTATAGATAGAAAGAAAATAGAGCACAGCCTGAACTTTCTGATCTTGTGAAGTGCTCAGATCAGTAGCTGGCTACCAGTATTGGCATGACTGTAGGAGGATGTAGTGTCTGTCTTCAAGAATGCTTTAGTAATTACGTCCATAATGAATTAGGCAATAGCCATAAATTTCAAGAACTACTGAGTCGCTTCTGTGCAGTGTTACCTTAAGCTGAAATTTCAGCTGGTTGCTTGTTTCTTGTTAGGTCGTAAATTCGCTGCAGCAACAGACACAAGCTACATCTCCTCCAGTTCCTGAACCTCACACACTCACTACTGTGGCTCAAGCAGATCCTCTTGTTAGAAGACAGCGAGTACAGGACCTTATGGCGCAGATGCAGGGGCCGTATAACTTCATGCAGGTATGATGGACCCACTGTACTGTGAAGCTAGAACCGAAGAAACAAAATAGCACTTTCTCACTGTTAGTCATGATTTAAAGAGCCTGCTGCAGTTTATTTGAAAGATAACTATGGTCTTGGAAACCATATAGTGCTGTATGGCAGGGTCTCATCCAAGGCCTGCAAACCTGTATTGCTGTCAAAGTACAGTTAGAATGTTACTTAGCTTTTCAGTCCTTGTTTGTACTATAACCTAGAGAGAAGGCAGAAAGTTGTGCATCACGGGGTGCCATAGTGTATCCTGCTTAAGTGAGACCAGCTGTAAAATACCCCTTCTGTAAGCCAGTTCTAAATTTTGTGTTAACGAAAAACTTCTACAATGCATGAAGAGACTACTTTTTGGGTAGCTTCTTGAAGGCTCTCTTTTAACCCCTAAAGTTAGAACAACTGGAAAAGCATTGGGAGATAGCGCAGTACATCAGGAAAAGCCTCTCCTCCTCCTCCACAGAGTAGACACCTTGGTAACAAATGAGGCATACACTTCTTGTGTTCCTTTTTTTCTTTCTTCCTACAAAGTGCTAATTTAGGATAAGGAATAAAGAATAGTTTGCCACCTATTCTGTCTGGCTATTAAAATCTCCTTTCAGTTAGCTTTTTTTCAGGTAAGCCCTGATTTGTATACGTGGACTGATTTTAATTGATTTAAATGTATGGTAAAACCAGCAATTGTGTAACTGTGGACTAAGCTTCCTTTATTGTGACCTGGTCATTTCTGTATTCTGAATGTTAATATTTTTAAAATACAATAAATTTGATGTGATTTTTTTATTTTATTTCTTTTTCTAGGACTCTATGCTGGAGTTTGAGAACCAAACACTTGATCCTGCCATTGTATCTGCACAGCCCATGAATCCAGCACAAAATTTGGATATGCCACAAATGGTTTGCCCTCCAGGTTTGTAATGGTAAATCCTAAACATAAATATTGGGGGAGCCTGCAAGTCATCTATTAGAAATGCTTCAGTTACTGCTACATAGTAAAAGGGTCATCACAAGTAATAATACAGTACTGTTCAAGTGTGTTTTTCTTAGAACTATGATTGTACTTTTGAAGCATACTATTTGTAGACTTCAGATTCATTCTTGCTTCTAAGTTTTGCTTGCAATTGTGGAACATTTTAAACTTCTTATAAATGGGCAAAATATAGTTTTGCTTAGTCTTTTGGAAATTGCTGGACAATTTTGGACAACTGGAAAAAATGTACTTTGCATGGAAATGGTAACTGGTATTTTGACTATAGCTTTGCCATGCTAAAGGGATAGTCATCTTTATGATGATCAGGTCTCAACTGAATTAGATCAGATGGTAATGCTGTTCTGTAAAAGGTTTGATTGTACTATGTAATAAGTGGAATTATTTTACTTCAGTTCATGCTGAGTCAAGACTTGCCCAGCCTAATCAAGTTCCTGTGCAACCAGAAGCTACACAGGTAAAATGTTCAGTGAATTGTAGTTTGGATTTTAAATTGATTTTAGGCTTGATTGATGTTATAATAGGATTTAATTCCTAACTATATGAGAAACTCAAAAAGCTGAAGTTCTGATTTTGAGAGACTGGTTATCTCCATTATTTCTCCAGCATTGTCGCTTATAAGCATTACTATATACATTTTTTTATGCTATGCAGACATTGCATATTTTCTGTAATGGAGTCTTATCAGGCATTATCCTGTTCAGAAAACTGTCAGGTTCAAGGTTGTAGTACGAGTTTATTGAGGAAACTGCATTTCTAATTAGAGGCCTCTTAAACTGAAGGGCACAAGCACGGAAGCAGTTGCAGTTTGGACTGCTCATTCTAATGGCCCAATGTGGACTTTCTGGCAGTTACCAGTTCTTTCAATCTGTGGAGCTCACCTCAGTCTTCAGATTTGGTGTGTGGATGTGATTTTCGTTTCACAGATTGACTTCCATGTGGCTGTGTGTTAGGCTGCCATAACTTAAAATCTGTATTCCATGTGACAGTGGTGAATTTTAAGTGTTTCTTTCATGATTGAGAGGAAGGACTTTGGAATGCTGCTCTGCGTAGTCCTGCTCTAATGTAGCAGTTTAATTTGAGGTTTCTCTGTGCATTTCTGTTCAAGATGGACTAATAATTTGACATGCCAATCTTTGCCTAGTATTCTCTTTCATGTTAAGCCACGTGTAGTAATATTTTTAATTTCAGTAGAGGCAAGTTGTCCTTTATTTGCTTATTGTCGACAGAAATGCCAAAATGAAAATAACTTGATTAAAGGGCAGTATGTATCTGTTCAAGTGGGTGTTAGACCACAAATAGATTTAATGGATTGACTATATAGTTTGTGTTCCCTTCTTTTTACTTGCTCTGTTAAGGATTAGTCCCAGTTGCTTGCTTGGATAGTATTTTAATACTGGGAGTTGTAGAGCAGTCAGAATGAGTTTGAATGCTGTTTTTAGTTGAGCTTTCCCAAAATTCCTTTTTAAGTAGAATCTCTTAAATTTGCTTCTGCAATGTATAAATGTATTCAGCTTTTCATTAAGATGTGTCAGTTTCTTACGGAATTGTCTAGAGATGAAAGAACTTCCTGATTTTTGTATTAAGCACGTGTGGCATCTGTGAAGGACTCTGCTGGTCTCAAGTAATGAATCTGATCCTTATAGATATTTGAAAACCAAAAGAAAAATCTGGATAGATTATGTATCTCAGAGTAATGGTAGTATAAATTGCTTGCTTTATCTTGTCCAGATTAGATCTGCAAGTTTTAATTCACTCATTTTTATAGAAACAGGAATGTGGTTTTTATTTTTTTTCTTGAGTTTCCTCTTTATGCTGAAGTGCTAGTACTCTCAGCAGTTTTGTTGTTTTGTAGGTGTAGGAAAATTTTTTTTGGCAGAGAGTTCTCTCTGCACTAGCTTCTATTTTACTGTTAAATGATGTCTGTGACTTGCTCCAGTGGATTTTTTTTTTTCTTATTTTCCTTACCTCAGCCAGTGCTGCCAATGCTTCCCTTTGGGATCTTGCAAGCAGTAGCTAAACTTACCTCTTTCTTTTTGAATGTTCAACAAGGTGAACATTCAGCACACCCATCAGTTGTTATCAGTTGCCTGTTAAAGTCACCAGTAACCTTAAATGCAAAGTCCTCTGCTTTGCTGGCTAGAGTTTTCACTGGACTCTATGTAGGGGAGCAGAGGCTGTAGAATGAGCAAATTCAGTCTATTGGAAACCAGCACTTCTCTATTTCTGTATGAGCTTGGAGTTCTCTTGTGTAAACTGTATATTTCTCTCTCTTTCCCCAGCTTTATTATGGTAGTTGGGTTGCATAAGGAAGTGAGAAGGATGTTCTTCAGTAATAGCAAATATGTCCAGCTGATTCAGAAATATCCACAGAATACAATCTGTGAGAGGGTGGATGGAGTGGCATGTTAGAATATATGTCAAGATGAGGTGGTTAAACCTCTACTTGTTAAAAAGCACTTAATTTTTAATGGTTGTAAAGATTTGCTGGAATACATACTTTTACTAGAAAGTACCATTCATTCCAGAGTTCTGTGATACTTTTTATAAAAACAGTGTGTGAGCATCAGCTGACTTTTGGGGGCTTTGGGGTTTATTTTGTCAGGTTCCCTTGGTTTCTTCTACAAGTGAGGGATATACAGCCTCCCAACCCATGTATCAGCCTTCTCACACAACAGAGCAACGGCCACAGAAAGAATCAATTGACCAGATTCAGGCAAGTCAGATTTCATAGGGGTGGGAAGGACTTTGCTTGCAGGTGTGATCAAATGTTAGTCTATGTTTCTTTGTAAATAAAGTTTTGTAATTTTCAGTTACCTATTGATAGGGCCGCTTCAGTTCTGTTTAATTTCAGAGTTTTGAGCCTGTCTGTGACCAGTTAAGTCCTTCACAGTAAGACTTCTAATTCACAAGATTGTCTGTTTAGTTAGAAGTAAGATGCATATGAGCATCAGTGTTGTTGGCTTAGGAAATGTCATTTACTTTTTTACATTGGCTAGGAGTTAGCCCAGAAGCTTTTTCATTTCCCCCTGTAGTTTTTTCTAGTTGTGTTTCAAGTTAGAGGGAGAAGACTGCTAGGTTTTTTTCCTGTCTCATTATGCTGTTGTGAATGAGGTTGTTCAGCGGAAGTAGAAAATACTCATTTGTTGAGGTGAACCTGAGCCATTGTCACATTTTTTTAAGTGAAGTTTTTAAGTTAAATTTTTGCTATTATTCAAAAGCTGCTAAAATGTTGTTTGTTTTAATTATTAGGCTTCAATGTCACTGAATGCAGACCAGACCCCGTCATCATCATCACTTCCCACTGTATCCCAGCCACAGGTGTTCCCAGCTGGGTCTAGCAAGCCTTTGCATAGCAGCGGAATCAATGTTAATGCAGCTCCATTCCAATCCATGCAAACAGTAAGTAGTAAATTAATATCGAATCCCTTTATTTTGTTAGTCATTCCTTTTGTTGTTACACAAACACTGGAATCAGTCATGTAATTATATAAAATAGCCTTTGGTTATTCATGTCTCAGACTTGCATACTTCTTTACATGATGTGATGAAGAATTGTAAAAAATTAGTTGGACCAGGGAGCTATTTTTCTGCCATTGTAGGTATTCAACATGAATGCACCTGTTCCTCCTGTTAATGAGCCAGAAACCCTTAAGCAGCAAAATCAGTACCAGGCCAGTTATAACCAGAGTTTCTCCAATCAGCCTCACCAAGTAGAACAATCAGATCTTCAGCAAGAACAACTCCAGACAGGTAAACTTATTTCAGCAAAAACTAAAGTGGCAATAGCCTCAGTAGAGCAGGTGATCAGGCTGTGAAGTCCTAGATGATGTAGCAAAGCATGTCACACATTCTCAAATGTTACTAGTCTTGCAAAGCTTTCCCTTGAACAATACTGCGTTTTGTTATTCTGTCTTGCTTTGAATATCCAACAGGGGGTGAAATGTGATATGTATATCTCCCAATTGTTAAAAGAATTTTCCCACTTGATTCAGTTTTATATGGGTTTAAAAAAACATGAACAGGATTAAGGATTATTCTAAAGGTGAAAGCAATGTAGTGGACTACTTGCTCTGCTGATAAGGTTGGATGATCCTTAAATTTGTTTTTAAAAAAAAAAAGGTTATACTGTTCGGCATTTTAAAAAGGAAATAGTAAGCTAAATTGAGAGCAAATACAGACTGCTTCTCACAGGTGATACAAGGTTCACAAAGATCTAGAAAGTTTTGCTAAAATCAGTTAGACATGATTTGAATACAGCAGGCAAAATGCTTTCCAAGTTAGCAACTTCAAAAAACAAATGGTAAAATAAAGTCTACGTACAACGCTAGTCTTCTCCCAGCACTCTCCTCGCTTTCCACTGAGATAAAATTTGCAGATGCAGAGAGGGATTTTGAGTGAAGGACACAGGACAGAGATGACAAGGGTGAAGTGCTAACAACTACTGGAAGTGGAGTAAGGAAAAAGAGCCCAATCCTTTTTCTCTAAAACTGATCATGATCTTGAAATTTTTCTTCTTGAAAGTTAGGATACTGGGGCGGGTAGGATAAGAAGAGGGAGAACCAAGTTTTCACTGTTTATCTATACGGTTTTTGAGCCATATACATACAGTACAAGGCAGAAGGATAGTCTGGGGAATGCTGGTTTGGAAGGTGGGCTATGCAGTTTTAAATGCTTAACTTACTGTAACAGTAAATGGAACTGTTGATACACAGAAAATGCAGTGGCCTTAGAAGAAAACCTGCACACGTTAAACACTCAAAAGGATGACCACTTCTTGTGTTGCACAAGAATTGATGGGAAGTTGAGGAGAAAGGAGGACCTATGCAAAAGTTCCATAGGGCTCTGGCTGAGTGAAGGAGGCATAAAGTTGTGTTTCCTTTTGGGTGATTCCCTGCATATGAGAGGGACTTATCACTGACAAATATTCTTTGAGATCTTGCTTTAGCACTTGGTATCAGGCTAAATTTTACAGCGGTTTTGCTCTTACATACAGAATTACATCTTTTATTACACTTACTGAGCCTATAACCCTTGGATTGCTTTCATAATCCACTTCATTCCTGACAATTCCTGTGAAGTGACGATGTTGTGGCATACCTTACTTCAAAGATGCACATAGTCTCAACCTATCCATCCTGCTCTTGCCCTTTGATTTACATGCCCTTTAGAAAGAATCCTCCAGCCTGTACAGTCAAAACATCGGCTCTGTTAAAGTGTTCTGTCAATCTCACCTTAGTCAATATAGCTATACCTAACAGAATTTAATTTGTGAAAGGAAGTAATTCTTAGTGGCTCTCTGCCAGTTCAGAGGGGAGGAAGTTACAGAAGTGGGTTAACTTATTCATATTGGGGTTTTTTTCTAGATTTTTAAAGGGTTTGAAATAGCACAGGAAAATTGTACCTGTGTTAGGAATACTTGTTGCTGACCTTACAGTAGAGACTTTGGACGCTGACTTAAATCAACTCTACCATTTCTGGGTTGTTTTAATATTGTGGGATATCTGACTAGTAACCTGATACTGAATTCTGCAGATTATTTTTCTTTGAATGGGTGAGCATATATTGATGTGTTCAGTGGTATTTGAGAGCTTTGAATGTTGAGTTTGAAGAGAGTATATGTGGGAACATAAAGAAATGCAGACTTTTATACTTCATTTTTTTCCCCCCAATTCCAATATAGTGGTTGGTACTTACCATGGTTCCCCGGACCAGACTCATCAAGTGGCGGGTAACCACCAGCAACCTCCCCAGCAGAATACTGGATTTCCACGTAACAGTCAGCCTTATTATAACAGTCGAGGAGTGTCTCGTGGTGGATCACGTGGGGCTCGTGGCTTAATGAACGGTTACAGGGGACCGGCAAATGGATTTAGAGGTAAACAGCTTTATTAAACTCTCTCATTTGACTTCTTTCTGGAAACACCGTGTCAAAATACTAAGTGTTAAACTGACCTACTCTAGTTTTTATATTTTAGTAGTATCTCTGTAAGATATTTAAACTTGTACTAAAAATTCCATTTGCTTTAGCTAACTTCAAGCAACTTAAATTTTAGGTGTTTGGTTAGGCTTCCTACTTAGATGTAAACAAAGAGGCATTTTTTTCCGTTCTGTGCTGAAGGTTTGGTGTTAGTTTGATTAGGCGCATCTAGTGCAAGTTTTAAGCAAACACGGAACTATCCCACTGAATTTCACAGCCATTAAGTGAGGAATTCAGATGTCAACTAATACTTCAGAAATGGTTTTTATTTCCAGCTATGGTAGAAGCAGGGTATTTTAGAGTTCCGTGTTTTATCATATTGAGAATAGGCTGGATCATGTAGAAATAAAAGAACAAAAAAGTCCAAAAGTCATTACTCTGAGGGAATTAACAGGAGCGGAGGAATGATGTTGTAGTTTTGGATAAATAAGAGAACTTTCATAATTCCTGGAGATTATAATATGTGGCTGTCAATGTTAGGAAGATGTGTATGTTAGAATGGGAGAGACAGTTTCCTTGTCAGATGTTCTGGGATTAAACTAATGGATACAGTATTGTCTGCTTTTGCCATGTTCTCTTCCTCTTATGTGGTTGGAGAGTAGAGGAGGAACTCGTATAATAAAAATACAACTGATTGTAGTAGGGAATGCAGTGGTCGCTACTTGCGTGCTTAAAATTGGTCTGGATTCCAAGTGTCAGACCCTTGGGACTGGAGCCGCCCTTGGACATGGTTCCCAGCACTCAGAAGAGTACTGTCTCAGGAGCAGCTTATTGCATGAGTTGGCTGTTAATGGCCTTTCAGGTCACAGCTGTTACATTTATATCCTAGTATTATGTTTAGCTCTGGATTGAATGTTCTGTAAATCAAACCTGAAATTACTAGAGAAATGCATTGAGTTGCTATCTCCTCCCAGTTCTTACGAGGTCGTAATTCTTGTTTCTTGTAATAGTATTAGCACTGATGTTGCAAACATTTGCTTGACTTCTAGGTAAACAGTACTTACTAAAGGGTTTTTTTCCTCAGGTTTAGATAAAATGCTGTTATTGCTTTTCTTTATGTGGTAGCATAAAGTTATTTCCAAGTGAAACACTTGTACCCTGTTTTGTAGGAGGATATGATGGCTACCGTCCTTCCTTTTCCAACACTCCGAACAGTGGTTACACGCAGCCCCAATTTAATGCTCCTCGGGATTATTCAAACTACCAGCGGGTAAGATACCATTATGTTGTGACAGTCTAGAAGTAGAAGAAAAAAGTACCTGTCAAAGAAAGCACTCAAACAAATGTATTAGTGAAAACTTTTCTGAGGACTTTTTTTTATTTCTAATGAAGACAAAAGATTCAGGTACTAAACAGGTATTTAGGAATAGCAGAATATTAAATGGCTGGTTATAATTGGGAAACGTGTTCTGTTTGGCTGATTGATCTCTAAATGAATTAGTCTAGTAACTAGAGCAAAGTTGAGTGAATTATAAAGCACTCTTTGTTTAATTATTTTCACAGCTTTGTGAGATAGAAACTTAAAGAGGAACTTAAATCCATTGAAATTAACTTTTCAAACTTGTTTGGGATTGCCTGTCTTCTGCAATGCTGATATGTTACTCTGAAATCTGCATAGAATTTTGTTGTTCAGCTTAAGACTGACTGGAAAATGTCTAACTCTGCATATCCCCAAACATGTATTTATAAGCAAATGAGATGGTAGATTTTGATCCTGCCATTAGGATGTTGCTTCATTTATTGACTGGTGCTTCAGCAAATTCATCTGTGTAGTTTGAAAAATTTGAACACTAAATAGCTCTATTTACATTTCTTATTTACATTGAACACCACACCCTGTAACTGGAGAGAGAATTTATCATTGTACATTTTCCTGTATCTGCTAGGTACCAGTAGGAATAAGAGTTTATTTTTCTAAGATTAATTTAAACTAATAAAATGCTATAAGTTGAAGTCACAGGTGTTTTGTCAGTGCATATTGTTTCAAATGCTCCTTATTTTATTGGCAATTAATAGCATCCTGAAACATAACAAAATGCCCAGGGTTTGTCGTAACTTTTTTCATTTCTTTGCTTCAGGATGGATATCAACAGAATTTCAAACGTGGCTCTGGACAAAGTGGACCTCGGGGAGCTCCTAGAGGTAATTCCTGAGTAGTAAATAATTGATTTGGGCTGAATGCAAGTTTTTGATCCATCTTTTGGAGTTCTGGAATTTAAGAGTTACCTCACTCCTTATTCAGCAGGTCACAGCTGAAGAATAAGCTTAAATTTCCTCTGACCTCATAGTTGACCCTGCTTTTGAACAGGGCTTGGACTTGGAGGACCTCTTGAGGTTCCTTCTGACTTGAATTCTACTTTCATCCTTTGAACTTGTGGTGGAAGTTTATTGGGTTGTTGAATGAGGAATTCTTTGTAAAGAAGTTAAAACAACAATTGCTTTTGACACTTTAAATGTGGCAGAACCATTTAGTTGCCTTTTATCAATGAAAGCCTTAGGAAAGTGATTTTTTTTTTTTTTTTCTTGTGATGCTTATTGTGACTTATGATCTGCTTACTAGGTGCATTAGTAGTTTGCAAGTAAGACTTGCTTATAAAGCAGAGGTCAGGCTTGAGCCCACTGTCAGCTTTCAGAATTGTGTGTTACTCTGTTGCACTAAAAAATGTCCTACTGCATCTGTTGTGGAGATCTCTTGATCTAAGGATGCTAAACTTCCCTTCACGCTCATCTGTTCCTTGATCCTATAGAATTGTTGCTTTTAGCTTACGGAGGTGTGTTGTCTGTAGCTTCCTAAGAGTGTTTGCCACTGAGAAGACAAAACAAACCCACACACATAATGAGGCTGTAGTGGAACTTCTAAATTTTATTTTCAACGCTATTTCCACAGTTCTTTTTTTTTTTTAGTAGATTTTTGGTGATAAGACTGTCTTCTGTCTCAATACAGACATTTCATGAGAATGTTGACTTATCACTAGAGTGCCTTGTCAGTGAGGACAGCTCAAGGCTGTACATTGCACTGTTTGCGAAACCACAGTTCCATGTGGTAGTCCGGTTTTGAAGAGTTCTGTCCTTGATTGTCTTGGTACTGAAAGCCCTATAGTGTGGAACTGTGGCCTGAAGTCCACCGTGGTATTAGGCTGTAGTGAAGCTGAGAGCATATTTCAGGAAGCACAACTATAATGAAGACAAGTCTTGAGGTTCATTGGGCAGGGATGTGCAGGCAAACATGAGAGGGATTCCCCAAGTGACCTACAATTCTCATATAGTGAGAGTGTGAGCTACAGGCAGTCTCTTTCTTAAGGAAGAATGGAAGTTAAAACATGATTAGTTAGGTCACAGTACTTAAATTTAAAATACAGTAAACCGATTATTGCCTTACATTACTGCAAAACTTCTTACTTGAAGTGATTACAACTTTGTAGTTCTGGGAAAAAAAGTACTGGGATGAAGCTGAAAAATGAACAGACAGGTTATGTACTGTTGAGTTTTGATTTGAAGGAGCTTTTAAGACCATATGTAGTCTAGATACGCATCTGGGAATTGTTACCCAGTTTGGACCAGAGTTTTTAGGAATTTTTTTAAAATAACCTGGCTTCATGCATAATTCAAGAGCCTTTTTGTCTGTTTTCTAGGTCGTGGAGGGCCCCCAAGACCAAACAGAGGGATGCCTCAAATGAATGCTCAGCAAGTGAATTAAACAAATTCACGGGATTACATTAAACGCCAAAAACACACTGGCCAGTGTACTATACATGTTACCAGAAGAGTTATTATCTATTTGTTCTCCCTTACAGGAAGTTTGTTGTAAAGGGACTATTTTCATTACCCATAATGACAGGACTACAGTTGCCAGCTTTATATTACCTGGATATTGAAAGGAACGAATCAACGTTTACTCTGCATGTTCTGTCCTAAGCGTCATCTTGAGCCTTGCACATGAGATTCAGATTCCTCACCCTTGCTAAGAGTAAAGCAAAAAAGGCAATTTTCAGGGTGATCCAATCTCCATGGTTAACTGAAGTGGCAGGAAAAAGCAAAGACTCACTTCTGACGTTTAAAAGTGATGTAACAAATTTGGATAAAATCTGCAAATTCTTAAAAGATTTACTGTGGTGGCAGTTGATAAAACTTAATGTTCCCATGAAAGGATGGAAAAAGTGAAGTGTGGCTTGGTAGAGCAACTGCATTTCAGCTTTTTCTTACTAAATTGAAGCACTGAACAGTTAAAGATGCGTAGTAATGCATATTTCCCTGAATAGACAAATAGGCTTATAGCCAGTTTTTGACAAAGCAGCAGCACCCCTTAGCTGCGGCACTCCTCATCACCAGGGCCCTGTTTACTGTGGCTAAGGATTTAAGATCGCTTGCATAACTGCTAATGTAATTGTGTAATTTTTATTTTTTTTTTTAAACAAGAAGAAAAGCTTTGATTTGGCACTTCAACAAACTTTTGCAAGAAATGTGAGATATGATCTGGATGGCCACTGTATATTTGATGTGAAGTATTTAGATATCTCTTTGAAACACTTCTAAGTTTCTTTGATAGCAATGACTTTTGTAAGGATTGGTATTCTCTATCATTCCTTATGACTTGCACATTGTCTGTCACTAATACTTGACCTTGCTGTATTATCACCTAAATAACTGATGCCGGTACTGATGGAAATCTCTAATGGATAATCATAACACTTTTGGTCACATGTCCTTTTGTCTTTCCTGCAGCCTTGAAGGTTTTAAGAAATCTCAAATGCCCGCTGCTGCTGCCCTTTTAATTGCTATCTTTTGAAAAGCACCAGTATGTGTTTGAATTGATTTCCCCTTTTAAGGGAAATGACAGCCAGCAGTTACAGTTCTAATGGTATAAGCAAGACAAATAAAACATGTTTATAAAAATTGTATCCTGGAACACTGGTTTTCAACGACTGAAACAAATGTAATGTGATGGGGTGACATTTCATGAGGTTTTGGGGTTTTTTTCCCTGATAGATTCTCTTCTTCCTGAATAGATGTAAACCCTCCTCCTGTTTTTCTGATTTTATTCTAATAGCTGTGACTTCTGGGAAACTTCTTTTTATGGACTTTCCTTTTCATCAAGGCAGCAATGTATAAAAGTAATGGCATAAGACTAGGAGCTGGAAAATACCAAGTCTTATTCAAGTTTTACTGCATACTTGTGGTATAATCTTTGGAAAATCACTTGTGCCTACCTTTTGCGCACATGCACTCTCTCTGCAGTGGGGAGAATATATTGATAGCTGCCTCCATAGAGGTGTTGGTAGTTCTGTTGCATTCTATAGCACATGCAAGAAGGAAAGTGCTATATGTGTTAAGTATTGCTCATCAAATAATTCCTACCTGTGGAAAGGTGAAATTAAGGAACAGCTACATGTTGTTTAACTGTTATATATAAAACTGAAGGTTGTTTTCACTCAGAGGGTCATTTCTACTTTGTATCATAACTGAACTTTCAGAACTTGTAGTCAGATATTTTGATTTTGTTGTGAAATAATCTGAAACTCTATACAAATAGGTGGTAATATCACTTTTCTGTGTTCTGTGTGAAGAGCACAAATGAGATGTTTTTACTGAGAAAAGTGATAAGCTTGTGAAGATGATATTATACACCAGACATCTTGAAACGATGCTGATGGCTAGAAGCAGCAGTTTTAGTCAAGGTCTAGAAACATTCCGTACCAGTATAACAATATAAACTGCAGTCCGGTGAGAAGTTGCTGTTCTGTGTCTTTTTTAGGAAGCTGTTACTGAGATAATAGTCCCAACTGTTTTTTAACTGGAAAAAATAAAAAGACAAACCTTTTGATGTTGAACTGATGTAGGAAAACAGTGAATTCTTTTTTATTATTATTATTTTAACTTTTTGTGCATCAGCTTACTTTTTAAATGGTTGATAGAACACAAGCTATTCAGCTTTTTCCATTGCACACCAAATGCTTCTTAAATAGCTAATTGTAGTTTGACAGTAAACTTGCAGCATACTGAATTAAAGACCGCTGAATGGATCAGAACATTCCACTTAAGGTTTTGGGGTTTGCTCTTTTTTTTCCAACTTAAATTTATTAATAAAACATCAGGTAGTTGAGAGGCCTCTTAACTGAGATACAACTTTGTAAGCCTTTTCATGTATGAAAATGGTCTTTAGAGTAGCTGCTCTACTGTATACTGATAGAGGGAGATGTGTTAGAATAATAACCGTAAAGCAAGTACGTAAGATGTGTTTAATCTGGGAATTTGCACTGACTCCTTTAATCTCAATATGTCTGTCTAATAAACAGTATGCTGAAAAATTGGCTTGAGTCACACTATGGCACATAGATCCACTAACTGGTTTTCTGGCCTGTTCAGGGGAGCTTTTAAGTATCTTCGCTCTGTAACTTAGCTCTAGATCTGAGTTACCTCCAGATCACAAGCACTCCTAGATATGTTTCTTTTGAAAAAGACCATCTTTTGAAAAAGACCATTGTAAGAAGTGATCCTGTTGGTGGCAGTTCTGGGCTGGTCTGTTGCAGGGCCCTTTCTGGGAGCCAGGGGACGAGCTGTCGTCATTCTAGTTAGGTGCTGTGGTAGGGCCTGATGCCTGTGGTTGGGAAGTGTGAGTGAGCATAACAAAGTGCTACTACTGAGCCTGCATGTAGACACATCAGTTGCACTCTTTGGTGGTTTTACTTGATTCTTTGTGAATCACTCTTCTGGGAGCATAACAAGACTAGTTATGACTGCTTTCTTGCATATACAGCTACTATGAGGAGATGCAGATTTTTATTTTGGCAGGGGCTTTATTTAATATTGCTAGGCTGTACAGTGGTATGTGTTTGAGAACAACTTCTAGCTTCAGCATCTTATTTTGTCTAGGCTGTAATACAAGGATTCTTGAGTAAATAATTTATAAATCACTTGAGTTTCCAGATGTTTCTACCTAAAGTTACTGTGTCTGGGAAACCTGGATCCTTCCTAGATGTCCTGTAACTTAAATACTTAACTCGGAAATCATAGCTATTGTCTCATACCTAAGGTCAGTTTTGTCCTACATTTTACTTCTGTGTTCTCCCTGAATACGGAATGTCTTTTTAAGAACAGTTCACCAATACAACTTCTGGATTTGGCTGTGGAGGGATGACTAGACTTCACTTAATCCCTGCTTTCTTTCCAAGATACTGTCTTTTGTGTATAGCAATCTCTTAAGGCATAACTTCATCCAGAGTAGTTGGAAGAGTAGTGTTGACTTGTTAATAGACAGTTAATGTATTCTGCTGGGACTTTATAGCTCAGAGAACTTAGTGACCTTAAAAATGTGTCTTCTTAAAATGTCCTGACCTTATTTGTTAGGCAGATTCTTTGATTGGGTTACAGGTTACTTTCATATGTGTCTTTGGAGAATGGATTGAGCTTCCTTCTTTCCCCCAAATGGCATTTGAGTAACTACTTTGGAGAGAGAAAAGTTACTGAAAAGGCTTTATCTCTAGACAAACATTGAAAAGATGATAAATGATACTGAAAAAGTGGTTACCCTTCATACGATTAGAAGCAAATAAGGCAAAACCTTTGTGGTCCAGCAGAATAAGATACAAAATCAATGGGTTAGAAAAATCTTTACCTTCCTATTCCTTTTTTTTTTTTTTTAAAAGTTCTGGTGTTGCCTAAGCTGAGTAGTTGACTTTTCTTACCTCTTCTTTGCAAGAACCATTTATTATAAATGCACATCTGAGATAGAAGTGTTTGGGCTCAGTGGACAAAATTGTGCTGTATTCTTCAGTTTTCTTCCATCTAAAGTCTCCTGTGGGTACAAAGGGACATGAGAACACTGCTCATTAACCAGCCCCATTAATAAGGCTGCCAGTCACATCTTGAAAAATAAAGGATCATCCCTCTTGCTCATGTGAAGCTGTTCTTGATTAAAGTGTATGCAAAGTATCAAAACAGATACTTGAAGATATAAATTTGTAGCTGGAGTTGAGGTTTGTGACTATATGAAGTAGACTGTATATTTTAGTCTTTTGAATCTATGCACCCGTTTTTACAGTATTCCATCTGCATTGAATGTGGAATGGACTAGAAAGGGTTTTTAAATGCTTGAGCTGGCACCAGCAAAGTTCTACAGGTGGGGGGGTAGGTGTTCTTCACCACTGATTGACCTAAAAATCTGCCTCATCTTAATAGGAAGCAGGAAACAGTCCTGAAAATAAAACTTTCAACCTTGAAAGATTATTTCCTGATTTAAATCTGGACTTAAATATAGTTTCGATTATTGTTGGGAACTTTACTGAAAACTCAAACATCACAAAATTGTATGTTTTCCTTCTAATTCTGGTTTTCTCTAAATGACAAAATTTGTTGTGATGCAACAGTCAAATATTAACATCAGCATCTGAACGTTTGATTGGTCTCATACTAATCTTGGCTTTCTTATAGTCAGTGGCAGAACTTAACAGAGGGAGCTTTGACGTGAACTTTGGGAAAATTCCCTTATTTAATACCAGATTAGCATGCCTGATAGTTATGAAGAAGGCTAATTGCTTAAACTATAATGTGTTTCTGTTTGGCCAATTTGTTTTTCCAGAGGGAGGGAGATGGGCAAGGTCCTTCAAACTTCCTGGTTTGCAAATACTGCTTGCTTTTACATCCAAATGATTTTCATCCCAGTGAGTATGTTTTCCAAGAGTAAAGGTTCCGTGCTTTTGAGAACCACTGCACCTGGCTGCTTAGAGTTCGATGTTGCATTCAAATCATCTAACACTAAAGGGAAAGAAGATATCTACGCTGTAGTAGACTGTTAAAGAAACTTAATGTCTCTTCCTCTCTGTGGAAGCAAGCCCCTGACCCTCATACACTTATAAGAAAACTTAAAAAGCATTGTCTTGGATTTCTGTCTATTCCTACAGGGTTTCAGAAACTGGGTGTTGCTGAATTTTTGGTGTGGTATGGTAGAGTCTCTGATGAGAAACTAATTTTCTAAACTGTTTGTCTAAGGGTTAGAGGTGCTATTCTATTAACCACTTTCTTAGGCTTTTTGAATATAATGCAATTAAAATTATTTGTGGCTCTGTAGATCCAGCCTTAATGGAGAAGTCTGTTTTCCAAAATCTGCATCCTAAAGCCCATTTGAGTGGTGCTTGAGAGAACTGTATTAGGAAAACTTAAGCTTAACTTGACATTTTGTTCTGAGTTAAATTTATCTGTGTTAGCTCTTGCTGCAGTTATTAACTCATTAATTTTAAAAGCTAGGTTCCGTTTCCCCACCACCATGTTTTTTATGTTCATAAAATAATGAGATGGGTGTAACTAGCTCAGTTCCAACTATGGTGGCCAGTTTCTCCTTTCTACAAAATGTGCTCAGATACCCAATAGTGGATCAAGAGTACACCTGAAACTTTGGTATCAAGATAAATTTTAGTAATTATCCGTTAG